TCACCACCATCACCACCACGCCGCCGTGCAGGAGGCCGCAGACCTCACCAAGAGCCGCAAGTGACACAGGCTCTACACACGGCCTAGCTGCTCACTCACCACCCCACTTCAAGTGATGGTGGAGCGCCTAAACCTGTATGTGTAGGTCGGCAACGTATTCTTACGTTGATCCTGCAGATTGGTTGCTGAGTCAACGAAGTTTGGCCCTCGACTACAACAGCAGGCACTTGGACAACATTTGATGGTGTGGACTCTTGGCGATTCTGTACAACCTGTAATCACATTAAATTATGTTGGACATTTTATTGTATAACCGTTAAGCAACGATAAGTTTCCAAAGGAACAGAGTTTATTCCTGTACAAATAACACTGTTTTTTGTGGAGTTTTGGCTTTTCTATTGAAGTTGTTACTACCTTAGACACGTGACGCCAAACTAAGCGGCTGTCTCGAGGTAGTAATATACAACCATACAAAGTAAAGTCTGTAAAGACGTGGCACTTCAAGGGTAAAATGGTTGTCAGTGTAACCAAAATGGCTTGCTGTTCTGTAAAATGCAGGCCCACCTTGAATTGCCACCGTGTGTATAACAAAGTTGTCTGGGCAGTGGAATTTGATCCTCTCGATTTCAGGCATGATCAGCTAAGGTGTTGTGGCGGTACCCACCGTCGTTTGGTCAACAGGATGATGACGCAGTTCTGAGAAACTTGCGGTGGTGCCCAGTGTGGCTGGCTGTAGTCATGGGCGTAACAACTTCCTTACTGTTCTGTAATTAACGGAATGGGATCCAAATGTTGCTGTTTATTCTAGGTCTGGTGACGATTTATGAACATGAAATTTGTTAATGTTTTACGCAGTTTCGTGAATTTTATGCGGTTATCCTTTCCGAAGTGCCTTGTGGGCAGAAGTTACATTGCCACTTTTAATATGTAGTTCCCGTTTGTTCCTTTCGGTAAATAAATCCTACGTGATGAGAATAGGCTGTTCTGAAAACATCTTAATTTGAAAAACCTGGTATACGCATGAGGCTCGTATTGAGCCTGATCTTTTCGACAGTTTTTCAGTTTATGGCTGTTCTGTGAATTTATGGATTTGGTACGTAGAGGGTGTAGTCACAGTTTATACGTTGTGGAGAAACAATTATGCTTCACTCTGAATCATGTATTCAGATATGTTTTTCTTAAAGTAGCCTATAAAACGACTAAAGAAGGCTGTATATTACTGTGATGGCCAAACAGTTAATTTTCGTAAGTTTTAGAGCTACGCCCTTCGTCTGTTTGTAGCATATAAGATGGCAGCCGAACAGGGAACCTTACTCTCCACAATCAGGAAAACCTTTCATTGCAACAAGCAGTTGAGAGGGGGGGGGGGACCGAAAATACGGACCTAGGGCCTATCATTGCCTCGTAGACGCATGGCACATCGGTATGTGAGGCCATTTAACGTTCGTGATTCCGCCGACACATTGTGTCAATAATGTTTAAAATGAATAATATATGCAGAAATACGAGTAGATACAAGTTTATATAAAAATATTTGCTGATGTTTTTATTGATTAGTGCAATGCTGGTAACATCTGTACTACTGTTTTACCGATTTCCATTCTACAATTTTTAAACTAGGCTACAGCTATTTCTTAACTCTTTATACAAAGAGAGGATGAGAAGTATGCTGATACGTCACTGCCAGCACGCCATTGCTTTGTATATCAGGCCTATATGTCCTTAGAATAGTTTGTGGCCTGCCCATCCACTCATATTGGGTGGTAAAATGTACAAGCATACACAGGAATACTGAGAGATGTTCTGAATCTGAAGAAGAAGAAGAAAGGTAAACCTGTATTAGGAAACATGTACTTGGCATTGCCATTGAACTGATTAACAGAAGAAGGTGCTTGAAACGGTTTATTCGGGTTTGAAATTAATAGGTCATATATAGGCTCGCTTTTCATGTGAGCTGTCTCAGAAAGGGATCTTATTGGCCGAGAGTTGTATTGGTGACGATTCGGAGTTCAGGACGTCTGATAGTAAACAGTTGCATCTCCATTTACCACGCGCACTTGTCCTGAATTACGTGCTCGTTGGAATTATAGAAAAAGAGAACAAATACGTCCGCTTTCCAGCTAATTGTACGGAAATACATAGTCGCCAGTGAAAATGGAATGAGACGCTGGAAATATGGGACAATGTAGAAACGTTTACAAGGCAGACTGCCGTTTTACCATAGTTGTCGGGCTGATAAGCAGTCTGTTACCTTTGGTCCATGGTGAGGGATCTATCTTCTGAATCTTATATTCACAAAGTGATCAAGAATCCCCTCCTTCATGTAACCCGAGGGTTCATTGTCATGTTCGCAAGATCTGGCAACAAAACCTACAAACCAGCCCACACCCCAGTTCTGTAAAATACATTATAATAGTAAACTTTTATGAAGATGGGTGTCTTCTGGGATGTAGCGTCGTATAGCCTCGTAGATATTGACAAACGTTTCAGAGGTTCTTGGCTCGTGGTCCTTGTGATGGAGGCATGAAGGATCTCTGAAAGTTCTACCAGACTACACGGCGCTACAACCCAGAAGACAGCCATCTTCGTGCTCACTGTCGTGATAACCTCAAATCCTACTTGCCTTAGACAAGACAACAAATAGTCGTCTTCTGAGGCATAATTGTTAGACTCCGATGCGTGGATACACATAATCTCTGTTAGCTTTCTCTTGTTGCTATGTTGTACATGCAAGACCGTGGTAACCTATGACAGTGAATCCTTTGATTCGTAGTCGCCTGGATGTCAGGATGACATGGGTCATGCAGAGGCAAATGCCCACTTCGACTCATCGCAGATGTGGCGTAGTTGGCGAAGCCAGACTAAAGACAAATGAATTGGTGCACCTTCTGATTTTTGGACACAATCTAATGAACATTTTGCAGTCTGATCGTTTGTATTCCAATATCTGGATGATGAAAACAGCTTTGGTTTGTGATCTTTGTCTGTCGTCTACTTTTAAAGGATCTGCGGGGCGTAGAAATGTTCAACCTCAATTACATGAATACATGTACGACATTCAGATCTTGAACTGATATCAAATCATAAGACTGTATATCCCCGTATGAAGTATACACATATAATACGGAATATTAACCTTGTGTGTGTACACATCTTATTGGGGCAACTGTTTTTAACATCGCCAAACCGGACATACCGCTCATGTGAAAAAGACAGTTCAACATATTTGTCGCCTTTAAATAGCATCTGAACACATGGATTTATTAATGATCTGAAACTTTCTGAATGAGTTTCTGTTGATTCAGAAAATATTTTATGGCATCGTAGAATTTTACGACGCTGGGATCAGATTTTGTGACACAGTTCGTAAAGCAGTAAACTCTTGAAGATTTCCGTCTTCTGGGTTGTTGCGCTGTGTAGTCTGGTCGATGTTAACCAACGTTTCAGAGGTCATACTGCCTCCGTCATCATCGCCCTGATGACGGAGGCAGTATGACCTCTGAAACGTTGGTTAACATCGACCAGACTACACAGCGCAACAACCCAGAAGACGGAAATCTTCATACTCACCGCTGTGAGAACCTCAAGTCTTACACAGTAAACTCTTGTGTGCCAGGATATCGTCGCTATTTGAAGAAACATGAAGGAAGAAGGTGTGCAGGTTAATTTCCGTCCGAGGCTCTAACACTGGGTTTATTATGTCAGAATGTTCTGGTCCGAACAGAATGGAATACCAGTAGCCGGTCTGATTTCTGTGCACGTGGTGTATGATTCGAATCTGCGAAGTAACTTGACTAATCTGACGATGTATTACTTTTCTCGTCATTCATTTCAATAGAATGGCGGGATAATGTCATGGAATTAACCATAACCGCTTTCTATTCTTCTCCGTTTTACTGTTTGCCATTCTGAAAATTTCTCTCGTAGTTACAGCTTTGGGGTCCGGTAAGGACTGCGTACGTCAGACGTAATTCCTATTGAATAAGCCCTTGTTACCGAACATCAAGGATATAATCTGTTCATTTGATACCGTGTTATCTAAATCACGAATGAACCAACCGTCAGTAGTGTAAAGTTATGGTGATTATTGTGGGTTTGTTAATGCTTTTGTTTCATTTAATTGACTGGTTATCCATGACTGTTAACACGTGACGATAGTCAGTACGAAAGTTTGGAAACAGAACCGCGGCGGTGAGTTTGAAGATGGCTGTCTTCTGGGTTGTTGCACCGTGTAATTTGGTTGAAGTTTACTAGTGTTTCAGAGGTCCTTGCTGCCTCCCTCATCATTAGGGCAATCGCAAGGACCTCTGAAACACTAGTAAACTTCAACCAAATTACACGGTGCAACAACCCAGAAGACAGCCATCTTCAAACTCACCGCCGCGAAAACCTCAAATCGTGCTTAGAACCTGATTCAGTTTAGATTAAATTGGACAATGTCTAGTAATTGTTTTCATGCAGGGTATAAGATAATGGTTAGACCGCCATGACTCTGTTTCTTGAAATACGTGGTAGTATTCCCTCCAAAGCGTATGTAACCGTTGCACCACGTGACTGTCACAGTTTCTACCATCTGGAAGTGAAATTTGGATTCCGGTAGAGGTGCTTTATATTACACATTTCTGACCTTACATCGCACTGTGATGTTAACTGTACGCAGTATTTCAGTACTGCAATTTCGTAGAATTTGTT